AAAAAAAAAAAAAAAAAAAAACATCATAATAAAAAAAAAAAAAAAAAAAAAAACGAACCAAAACGAAACGATCATTTTTCACTTTCGTTTCTTCTTTCTTTGGAACCATTTCCTTATATTATTATTTGTCGATAATAAATATTTTCGTTTACCTCTCTCTCTCTCTCTCTCTCTTTCACTCACTTTTTATCTACATCTTTTCTCATTCTTCATCCAACATCATCATCGTTTTCGTTCATCTTCATCCTCAAAACAAAAAAAAATTATGTTTCCTACTTAGATCATCCTGTGCTCTCTTTTTCTATAGCAAATATATTGTACATCTTAATGGAGGGAAGGAAATAAGATTTATTTAAAGCCAATTGGCAGAAAAAAAAGAAAGAAAGAAAGTTGAATTGAAAATGAAATTTTCATGTTTTTTTGTTGTTCACTAAGGGAAAGAGAAATTACATTCAGTTGAAGAGTCATCGAGTTTATTTATTTTGTTTAGAGATTGGATGTTGATGATGATTTTCAAATGATTATTTAGATTTTCCTTATTTCTTGAATTTCTCGTTACAAGCATTCGATTTTTTTTTGTTTGTTTTATTAATTTCTGATCGAACCAAATTAATTTTGGTTTTTTTTCTTCTTATCAATCAATCAATCAATTTGATTTGTGAAATTTTTTGTTTGTTTGTTTGTCGATATCTCTTAAAGGTCAATCTTTTTGTAAATAATTGATACATTGGCAACGACATGATAATGTTGATGATGATGATGATGATGGTTAACAAAATGATACTGATTCGACCATTATTTTGGTGACAAATCTGGTCTTGTTTTTTTTTTGTTTTTTGTATTTTTGGCAAAAATGTTGTTTGTGCTTTTATACCACTACTACAACAATGTCTTTTTTCTTTCCTACCCAAACCTATGGTCCTCGAATATAAAAAAGACGAAAATTCCATAAATTTTTATACATTCATTCAATGTTATCTTCATGATCGTCATTGATTTTCAACAAAAAAAAAAGAAATCGTCAAATCAATGAGTATTTGAGTGCGTGTGTCTGTTTGTGTGCCATATAACAAAAAAAGTTACCAAATTCAAAGTCAAATTTTCTATTTTATTGGTTTATCAATATTTTGAATCCAAAAAAAAAAACAAAACGTGCCAACATAAATTCCATAACCAAAAAAATAAATCATAATGACTAATGATCAATGTTCTTCATCATACTATATTAACACAACATTCATATTGAATGAAAATGGTGTTCAAAAGCAAAATATTATGCAATATGAAAAAAATCAAAAACCAATTGCATTATTGTGGAAAAATCTTCGTTATGAAATAAATGAATGGTATTTTGATAATATTAATAATGGTGATGATGGTGGTGGTGTTAACAGTGGTGAAATTAATCGATCATGGATTAGTTGGCCACGTTGTCGTCGTAAAATAATTCTTAGACGTTTGAATGGTTCATTACGGGAAAATTCATTGAACGCATTACTTGGACCAAGTGGTGCGGGAAAAACTTCATTGATAAAATGTTTAACCGGTAATATTTCCAGATCAAATATGACATCCGATACGGAAATCTATCTGAATCGTTCGATACTTGATCAACGTATAATAAATAAACGTATGACATTAGTTGGATCGGTACCACAATCTGTACATGAAATTGTTTTCGGTCGTTTTACGGTAAAAGAATTATTTTATTATGCATTTCGTTTTAAAAATCCATTTGGACAACGTGATCAAGCTAATAAACATATTCTTAATGTAATGAATGAATTAATGCTTGATTCAAGAATACTTGAAACAAAATTTGAACAATGTTCCGGTGGTGAACAACGTCGTGTTGCCATTGCACAAGAATTAATGTCCATAGAATCACCACCACCATTTTTGTTTGTAGATGAACCAACTACTGGTTTAGATAGTGAAGCAGCATTACTTGTTATGCAATGTTTGCAAAGATTATCATTGAATAAATCATTAACAATAATGGTCTCAATACATGCACCAAGTTCAGAAATTCTAATGTTATTCGATCATCTTTATATATTGGCTAAAGGTGGTATCTGTGTCTATTCGGGTCAGCCAGATTTAATGCGATCATATTTAAGGCAAACAATACAATTAGAAATTGATGCCGATCGTTCACCAATTGAAGAATATCTTCGTATTGCTTCGAATGGTGAGTATATTTTTTTCAAACCGATTAATTTCAAATCTAATAATTCAATCATTTTACAGGTATTAATGCAATACAAGTTCGTGATTTAGCCAACAATACTCTTGAACAAGAAAATCATCAAATGACAATGGATGATTCGTTCGAATATCTCGTACAAGTACCAAATGGAATGCCTAAACAAACAAAATCATTCAATTTTGATGATCTTTTTATTCAAATGTATCGCATTTTAAGATTTATATTCGTTGTTGATGTGCAAAAATTATTATGCATTATATTGGTAAATGCACTTTTTATCGGTTTAATTGGTTTGACTTGTAATAGTGATATGGTTCGACCAAGTGGTTGTCGCCTATATGATCATGATCGTTATAATCGAACATGTCAAGATGAACTTGAAGATGGTGCACTAATCGGTACCTATGTTTTTTATCAAGAGCTTACATTTATACTACTTTCTTGTTCGGCTATGGGTTTTAGCTCTGTTTATCTTGTTGAATTGCTAAAAGTTTTTATCAATGAACATCGAAATGGTAAATAATTAAAATTTTCTATTAATCCATATTTTAATCATTCAAAAATCTTTAGGCTGGTATAGTTTATCAACATTTTTCTTCGCATTTCAATTTGGTCAATTAGCTCAGATGAGTGTATCAATTGTCAATTTAACTATGGTGGCATATTTTACTGGTGGATATTTCAGCATCGATAACTATCAATTTAATTGGAATCGTATCGGACATTTTATTTTCTATTACTGGTTACTTATGGTTTATCTACAATCACATGGCCAATTTGGTGCAATTATATTCATGGACAATATACAAATTATGACCATTTGTTTGCAACTAGTATACTCTATTCTGATGATGTTGAATGGCATTTCAATTACATTGGAAATTATGGATAATTCATGGCTAATAATCATATCACATTTGTTAGGAATTCGTTATATTGCTGATGGTTTATTGTTTTCATTTTATGGTATTGATCGTTGTGACACGGAAAATGAATATTCACACATATTACATGATTCAAATATCAATCCTAATAACATCTATACAAATATTCTATCACCATTATTGAATATCGGTGCTTTACGTGTGGCTACATTTATTTTAATGTATTTTCGATTTACATTCATGTATAAAAGTATTGGACAAAAATTTGAACAACAAAAACGTTCTGCTAATATGATTACTATCGATTATGATCATGTTGATGATAATCAAAATGAAAAAGAACTGATTCCTGAACGATTTCATAAAAATATAAAATATGACCATAATCGTCAACAAAAATTCTTAGTTAGTCGTCACATTATTGGATGGCGATCACTTTATGTATTTGCTAAAGAGTCAATCTATGAAAGTCGACCTGCACCAAAACAAACATCGGATCCATCAGAACGATTAATTTTAAGGAATCTTAATGGCCAATTACGATTTGGTACGATAAATGCATTGATGGGTACATCTGGTTCGGGTAAAACAACATTACTTAAGGTATTGAATGGTCGTAAGAAAACACGATTAGCAGATTGTAGCGAATTTTATTTGAGTAAATATATTCCCATTCGTACTTGCTATATTTCGCAAGAAGTATCTGGACATTTACTGCCTGGCCTTACAGCTCTACAAAGTTTAATCTATGCTTCAAAACTAAAAAATTGCCATGTTGAACATGATGGAAAAACATTTGTTGATCATGAAAAATTGGCTAATAATATACTAGATGAGCTTGATTTAACCGATGCGGCCAATACAATGGTGCAATATTGTTCCGGTGGTCAACGCAAACGTTTAGCACTTGCCCTTGAATTAACATCAGTACATATGCCAAATTTGATCTGTATCGATGAGCCTACAAGTGGATTAGATTCAAATTCGGCTCGACTTGTTGTTCAAATTTTAGATCGATTGGTTGATCGTCATCCGGATATTTGTATTGTGGCCAGTATTCATCAACCCAATACCGAATTATTAATGATGTTCAATCATTGTTATGTACTAGCACGTGATGGCATTTGTATTTATTCGGGAAAACCAGCAGGAATCAAAGAATATCTTGATCAAATATCCGTATTGGAGAGTGATAGAGATCGGTTTCCCATTGAACAATTGATAAAATATTCATGTAGTGGTGGCGATAATCGTATTGTACGTCAAATGGCCGAAACTAGTGAAAAATTAATTCGTCAAACAGACAATTCCCTTCAAACGGATACTATTACCATACCTGATGGTGTTGAATTTAATCGTATTCGATTTTCATTACATTCATTATGGATTTTATCTCAACGTTATCTAGTTTTTATGATCAAATATCAATGGAAAGAATGGTTAGCATTTCTATTCATTTATATGGCATTCGGTATAGCATTAGTCATTTTTTTCAATCAAAACATTGCACAACCAAGCGGTTGTTTAAATCCTGAAGATGATTTTCTTGCATTTTGTTCGGGAAATAAATCAGCCGATCGAACTATCGAAGAGAAACAAGTTGTTAATTCAATTTATTTTATGACACAATCATCTTTTTTATTTACATTATTTTTATCCGTTCAAATAATGTTTTCATTCATCAATGAATTAGAATATTTTTTAAATGAACATCGTAATGGTAAGTGATAATGATTCTATATTAGTTCTTAATAATTGATTTTTTTTTGTTATTGCATTTACAGGATGGTATAGTTGTGGTGTATTCTATTTACAGAAATTTCTTTTCGAAACCATACCATTAATTCCAATCATAATGATATATGTCTATATTATCGATATATTTTCAATCGTTTCGGCCAATAATTATTATCTATGGCATGTTATAATTCTATTTTTGGCATCAATAAGTTTTCAAGCTATTAGCCATTTTGTTGCATTAATTACTAATGGTCATTTTGTATTGATGATTGTTTGTCTTTCATCATTTTCAGCAGCATTTATGGTTTTTTCAAATGCCTTCAATCCTATTGCACAACTTAATTATGGATTACGATTTTTATCAAATTTTTCCGTATTTCGTTTTGTCAATCAAGCTGATTTTTGGCTTGTATATGGTGGTCAACGTTGTCATGAACATGAAATTCAATCCATTCTTTATCAGCTAATGATACCGAATACTGTGGATCATTTTTTTCATTGTATATTGATGTTGGCCGTATTAGCTTTATTTTATCATTGTTTAGCTTTTTGGATGTTATTTATCAAATCAAATCCAATGAATAGCCGACGTAGTCGTGTAAAACGTATTGAACGTTTTTATCAACAAAGATTAATGCATAGAATACCATCGGCAACAACTTCATCAGCCACACAATCACCATCAATATCATCAACATCGGATAATTTTATAACGATTCGATTATAAAATATACATTTATTTTTGACAAAAAAAATAATCAAATTGTACATTACTAGTCATTTTTTTTGTTGTTGTTCATATCAAATTGTTTTCACATTGATTACAATACAATTAAATTAAATTAAAATTGATTTTTTTATTTGTTTGTACCTATAATTTATTGATTGATATTTATTAATTATATAACCTAAGGAAATGTTAATGAATGATCGGATGTAATTGAAAAACGTTTAACCATCATATTAACATAATCATGTTCAGGATCACATTGAATTCGTTGTGAATAATCATTAAAATTTAATTGTTTAATCTTTAATTTGTTTATATTACGATGACACCAACCAAATGTTAATGGTGGATCAAAATAAAGTGATGATATGGATGAAAATGACCATGATGATAATAGATCGGGTATAATTTTTGTTGGATGATATAATTTAATTGTAGCCATTGTGCCTTGTCCTAATTCACCCCATACATAGCAACAATTATCATTGGTGAATGCAATTGTAAAACGATATGACCAACCGGTTGCAATTGATTTAACATTTTCAATTGGTAATCGTATTGGTGATAATTCAAATTGATCAAAATCAGTTGATCCAAGTTCACCATTATCATTCCAACCGCAACCATATAGGTAACCATTTTGCATTAGAAATAATGAATGTGCAGCACCGGCAACAAAATCTTTAATTTGACAATCACATTCAAATTCGATTAAATTTGGTATATTACGATTCATTTCATCATTCAATCCTAAACGTCCAGATTCATTTAGGCCCCATGAATATAATCGGCCCGTATCGGTTAATGCTAATGAATGTGCCCAACCACAAGAAATTTTTCTTACATTTTCCAATCCAGTATAAACTAATGATCGATGTGAATGTTCAGCTGTACCGGTTGTTTGACCAAGGCCATTCCAACCCATAGCCATTAATCGTCGATCGGAACGTAATAAAAGTAAATGTTCATGTCCACAGGCAATATTTTCAATATTAACAGAACCGGTATCGATCCATTTTAATTTTCGATCAGTTTCCCAATATGGATCTGAACTGGCCAAATAAACACATCCATCAGTGGTAAGAATGACAAAAAAATCAAGTCCATAATCAACTTGTTTGATAATTTTTCCATTTAATGTACATAATTCTTGTGGTTCATATGAATCATATTTTAATGAAAGCCATCGACATAATGTTTCACCAAAAATATATGTTCGTTTTTGTTTTGTTTGTATAATATAACCAAGATAACAATCTTGTTCACAATCATTTCGATAATGTACACTACAAAATGCTTGAATCGAACGAATAAAATCATTGGAAAATGTTTCAAATTCTTCTTTCCATATGTTCATAGTTGTTTGATGATATTTAGATGATGATGATGATGATTTAGGTTCCATAATGTTGAAAATTTTCGAGAAAAAAAAATAACACTTAATCTTATTATACAAACAGAACAAAATACAAAATAACAATAGAATATTCATATAAACAAATTCCACGATTCGAAAAAGAAACAACAAAAACAATCATATTTTTTTCTACTTGCATAAATTAAATTTTTCTGGCAAAAAGAAGATTATTCTTTTGCCATGATTTTCGGCATTCATTCATTCATTCATTCATTCATCGATTCAATGTCAACAATAGTGAAAAATGAATTATCTTACTTTTTCACAGATTTTTTTTTCATCTTCTGTTATGTTAAATATATATTCCGTCATCATCATCATCATCATATTTGTCTATTAATGCAAAATTGCAAAATTACATGTTTGCAACAAATCATCATTTTTTTTGGCTAAATACCAAAATTTGCAATTTTGTTCAATTGTTAAAGCAAAACGAAAAAAAAAATCCGATTATAAATAAAAAAAATACGACATTCCGATTGAAGGAAATATCAAATGTTGTTTATCATTTATTTCAGGATTTTTATTTTCGAATCGTTTTTTTTTCGAATCATTCGATTCGATCGAAATAGCCACCATTTGATCGATTTCCGTAGATATGTCAATCAATTTGAAAATATCTATAAAATAAATCAGAAAAAATTGACAGGTTTTTGTTGTTGTTGTTGTTTTTTTTTTGACAAATAATTTATGGTTTACGGTTTTTAACTTTTGATGTCCAAATAAGAAAAACAAACAGTGGTCAATCAATTATGATTTGTTCAATGTCAAGGTCATCATGAGTTTTTGCTCTCTTTTATTCGATCATTTTTTTGATTGCTGTTTTTTTGTTTTGGTTTTCATAAACATGATGATGATGATAATGATAATCATCTGGTAAAACGCCTTCAAAATTTCGCCCTTCGTCCAAATTCGATTGATTTATCAGATATTTGTCAATGTCAAATTTTGAAATGAAAATGTAGAAACAGAAAAAAAACAAAAGAAACCACAAGTTAATTAACAACATTCAGGAAAAGCGGAACGAATGAATTTTCTTTTCTTTTTTTTTGAATCAAAATAAACAGAAATATTTTACCTTTTGAAGTTTTACGATCAGAATTTTAGAATTGAATTCAGAAAAACAAAAAACAAAGATAATGAGAGAAACAGCCGAATAGATAAACAATATATTTTAAATGTGAAAAAATCAAAGGACAAACATTATCATCATTGTAACCATCATGGTCATCAACATGAAACTTTATTTTTACCAAATTTGACTTTTTTATACAATCATTTTGGTTTGTCGTTTGTTTTGTCTTTTGTGTTTTCAGCTATTTTGACATTGTCGGGATTTAGGATTTTTTTTTCTTCGTTATTGAATCGAATTTTGTCATCCGTTCCGTTTGACTTTTGGATTCGAATATCGATTATCGATGCTTAACCTTGATCTATCCATTAATTTGCAATCAATGTTTTTAATCATTGTTAATGATCATATGGGTAAGTTAATAATAATATTGTCTCTGTGTTTGTTTGTTTGTTCATTTGATGGATAATATGTGTGTGTTTGACACAATTTATTACCATTACCTTGATGATTTCTATTCATCTTATGGATTGATTGATTATTAATTAATTAATTTTTCTTTACTTTTTTTCCCTTTTTTTTCTCTATTTTTTTTCACTACTGTGGCGATTGCCGAACCTGTTGATGGGAAAATAAATGTCGAAATGATAAAATGGCTTCAGGCTTTTGGTGACATTTTTTTTCGACAATATTTTACGTAAATAAACACACAGAGAATAATATAATAATAATAATGTCATTGATTAAGATTTTAAATAAATGACGATATTAAATGTATAAAATTTCAAAGTGAAAAACAATAACAACAATAATTATCATCGCAACAACGACCACGGTCACCAGTATTGATAGTTTCTATTTTTTTGTTTTGTTGAAAAATTTCAATCAAAAATGTTTTCACGTTTCAAATTTATTCTGGTTCCATTGTAAATCATCGTTTCCAAAAAAAAAACAAAACAATTTCACATCATCATCAAATCATGTTCTAATTGTTTGTTTTCTTTTCTTTTTTTGTTTTGTTTTCTTTTTCCGATTCTCAATTTTTAAAACAAAAGGCCAAAATTACAACGATATCGTTTTGGTGTTAAATTTCGTTATCAAACATTCATGCGATTAATACATTTCATACAGTTGGCCATATTGATGGTCATATTTTTATGGTCGATCAAGATAATTTTAATAAATTTTGGTAAGTGAAAGGTGAAAGAGAGAGAAATGCCATATTTGAAATACCTTGAACATATTGATAATTATGTTTTGTTCCCTGTTGTGGTGTGTGTGTCAAGAAGGGTTCACCTTTCTTCTTATTTTCCTTTTATAATAGAAAATTTTTACCCCTTTTTTTCCAACTGGTCCATAGCTATTGTGGGCAAATATGATTTTTAACCACAATATTTTCAATACTTAATTATGATGATGAGTAATGAGTAAAGTCAAAAAAAAAGAAAACACTAAACAAACTTTGATTTGTTGGTTTTCCCATTTTTTTAATTATCCCCAAATTATTAACGTGCACAATCATCCTTAGCCAATTCTCTGATTTTAATTTTACATTGAAATTTGATTTTTTTGAAGAAAAATTCAATTAGTTTATTATTTTTTCTTTTGATTTGATTGAGGATTCATCATGAATTTAGTTTTTATTGTTATTTTCAATGTTTTTATCATTAATTTTTGTATTACATTTCCATGTAAGATTATTTGAGAATTTCTTTCTAATCAATTTTTTTAAATTCTTTCTTTTAAATTTTTTTAAAACAGTATTTACTACAAATGAACAAGAACTACATTTAGTCATTGATGATTATAATGATGAAGAAGATAATGATGCCAAAGAATCTTATATCGATCAAATCGATGCTCGATCATTGGGTCAACGTGTTGAATTACCTATTCCGGATGAAGAACTAACTACTATTTTGACTACAACATTATCTATTGAATCTTGTAAGTTTTTTTCCCATACTTTATTATTTAGAATTTTAACTATTTTCAAATTTTTTTCCTGCCCACATCAGATACAAATATGACGACTTTATCATCAACGACAGAATCATCGATTATAATTGAAGATCAAAATGAAAATTCAACTCCTTCAATGGATGCTAAACAACCTTCAACAGTAGTAAGTACTAGTGAAGAAACGAATGAAGAAACATATACTCCATTATTCGATATTGGAGATTCAACACCTGGTTATTCAACTACTGAATCATCATCATCTACCGAAGATATAACTGATTCCTCAGTTGATTTTGAAATTCCGATGACGACAAGTACATTCACTACTGACATAGAAGATGCATCGACTTTATCGATACCATCCACAACTGTTGATCAAATAGACGAAAGGACACCCGACATTATAAGTACTTCATCGACAACATCTATTCCGATTATGGATGTTACTCAAATGGCAACTATGAGCGGTGATGGAATTTCTAGTTCGGAATCAACTACAGCTGAATCATCTACTAATACCTTATCCATTTCAACCATCTCTCCTGATGATGAAGCATTTTCTACTGAACAAGAATCCAGTACAACAAATGTTCCTGATATGATGAGTACTGAAACCGCGGAACGGACCGCAATTCCTGAAATTTCGACATTAATGTCAACCTTCAATTCAGCAGATGAACTTACAGAATCAACTCCAACTGAAACGACAACTTCAAATGATAATTCATTGATGACAGATTCTACCATAAATTTTAACTTGATGACCACAACAGAAATGAGTTTGAATACTGAAATACCATCATTTTCAACTGTAACAGCGACATCGATTGATGAATTCACTAGTGAAGTGAAAGTCGATGAAACTACAAATCTACCACCAACCTCTACAACAATGACAAAAGAATTTGAGCCAACCGATATGAACAGTGTCGATATTGATAGTCAAATGCCATCATCATTTGATCAGAATAATGGTGTTGATTCATCGACCGCTATCCCAGAAGAAATGCCAATAACACAAACAGTGAGATCAACAACGGCAATTAATGAAGAAACAGATCAGGAGTTTACAACTGATCAAGCTATTTCATCGCATACTATCGATATGGGAATGACCACTAGGTTAATGGCAGGACCAGATGAAACTTTGCCATTAGAACCTATTTCATCTACGACACAATCAATTCTTATGGAAATGACTCCCACAACAACTGAAACAATTATAAACACCGAAGGTGATGATGAATCAAGAACAAATGAACAACCCACTACTGATCAAGTGGAAATAATTACAACATCGACAACAACCGAAGCTCCAGTTATAATCGAAACAATAACGGAAGAGCCAACAACTACTATATCAACACCTATTGAAGAACGAGTCCCTATTACAACAATATCACCTGCTACTAAAACTGATAAACCATTATCGACTTCAACAGTTTCGGATTGGGATCAATCTACCACAACTATGATGACTACAATTACTACATTGGTGCCAAAAAAAACTATGACAACAATTGGTTCGACTAAAACGATGTCGAAACGTCCAACACAATCAAATGGTCGGCCTTCAAATACACCGTTTTGGATGCGTTTTTGGCCATCCAGTAATGAAGGTTGGAATTCACAGATTAATCCTTGTGTTCGATGGTCACATTCATCTGATATGGATAACGATGAACAAAGAACTGAATCACAATGGTCAATATTACCATCACATATACATAAATTATGGCAACGAATGTTTCGTCTGAATCATTATCGTTGTCAAATTTCTAATGAACGGCGAAATATTCAACATGGTTTAATATTAGCACTTGAACAATATCGTGATCGTATATCAAAAGAAATAATAGCATTATCAGAAATATTACGACCAATTGAACCAGAAGGTTCACAACAATATGGTTATGGTCGTGGTTTTTTTCGATCAAATTCAAAAACACAAGAAGAATTGGTACGATTAAATCGTTTATTACAATTAACATCAAATTTTCTAAAACAATTGAATCGTTTTAATCATTATGAATGGCTTACCAATTAATTAGATCGATTCATTTTTCGATTTAAAAAAAAACCTTGATAATTTTTTTTTTGTATTATATTATTTGTCATATATAATGTCAAACATTTTTCTTTTTATCATTTTACAGTCCATTTATTAATCTCATATTTTTTTTCTTCTTCTTACAATGTAATTAAAAATAAATCATTAAATTTTCTATATTGGAAGAGATTACTTGAATGTTTCCATTTGAACATTATATGGATTTCCGGGTTTTTATTTTGTCTTTGTTTTTGTTTGTATTTGGTCAATATGAATGGACTATGGGTCATGATGGACAAATGTAAGGTTTAGTCATATAATATATGTGTGTGTGTATGTTTAAGTGATAATTTTAAATTAATTTTTTTTCGAGGAAACTGGTTATCGTCATAAAATCCATAGGTAATGGGAATCATTTTAATTTTAATTTATTTTTGGGAAGGTTTTTTTTTAAATGTTAGTATCTTTGAAAATACGTTTTGTTTTCTTTTGTGTTTCGAATAAAATGGATGATAATGAATATCATTTTTGTTTGCTTTCTTTTTTTGGTTTCGATAATTAGCATGGATTTATCATTGCCCAATTAATTCATATCGGATTTTATTGTTGTTTTACTTAGAATTTATAAGACATTGTTTTAGGCAATGTACAACCTTGTTGTTTGACACATTCAGTTGCACAATAAATAGCACAATCAATACATTGTTCTAATGGTTTACCCCAGATATACATGGCTAGAAAACCTCCAGTAAATGCATCACCAGCACCATTCGTATCTTTTAATTCTTTTTCCGATAATTGTGGTACGGGAAATTCTTTACAATCGGACCAATCTGATTTGAACAAAATAACAGGATTTTCCGATTGTGTGATAACAACAACACGGCCAGCCTTATATTGACTTGGTATACGTGGATTATTGTATTTTTGTTTCGGTTCTTTAGCGATCAATTTGGCAATTTCTTTCGAATCTTTTGTCTATTATTATAGAAATCATGTTGAAAAAAGACGAAAAAGGGTTACCTTAAAAAAATTACCTTATATCCTTTCATTGTGGCAAATGCACGTGCTTCATCAAGATTGGCAAAGAAAAAATCCACATATGGCATTAATTTTTCCAATTCTTTTTGACATTTTTGTGTTACATAAGGAGCAGCTATTGAAATAAAAATAGACAATCATCAGATAAAATTGTGAATATTCATGAATTAAATTGATCATTGACATACCAAGATTGAAGAAAAAATCTTTACCCCAATCCATTGAATGTTGTGCAATATGTAAAACGCTTTCATGCGATACTAAAACAAAGTGGGTGTCATTTGAGGATTCGATTTGGGGAAAAAAACAAAAGAATTAAATGCTAAAAAAATTTACATCATTTTTTTCCACGAAGAAATTTCCTGAAGTTTCTTTTCATCTTAATTATGTATTACGCACACAACCAAAAAACAAAAACCAACAAACCCACCAAAGACATTGACAATGACATTGAATTTGAGGTGATACACTTTTTTTGATAAATAAATTGTCAAAAAAAAACGTTTTTTTTCCCGCATTTATTTATTCGGTAGTTTTTCAAATAAAAAAATAATAATTATTATTAAATGAAATGTCACACCCAAAGTCAAATAAAATTTTGAAATTAAACTTTCTACTTGAAATAGGTCCCAAATCATTTATTTGTATACAAATTTGAACTTGGTCAACTACAAACTGATGGTATTGGTTTTTTTTATTTAAAAAGAAAGAATTATCAACGTCATTCGAACCTAAATGGCGACCTTTATCATTATATTTATAAATTTCATTATTATTATCAAATAATATTTCTATTTAAAAAAAACAACAACAACAACAACGGTTCAACAAATTCAATGTGAATGAATGAAAAAAAAAATGAAAATGTTACTAAGAAATTCAAAATGAGACGCCAACACATTTTTTTTTGTTGTTAAATAAGAATTAAAAAAACATGTTTATTTACCTGGCAACATATGACCACTAATGTAATACAATTTAGCCTTTTCTATAAACACCGAATTCGATAGAAGAAAATGTTTATCAAATTTTTTACAAGCACCTAAAGAAAATTAAATAAAATAAATATTTCATATGAATAATTTAATGGGGAAAAAAATGAAATAAATAGTAATAATTACCAAGATAAGCACAAAGTGAACGATATTTGCCATTATTATTGAGCAATACAGCACAGGTTCCGGTAAGAGCATCATCAACTTTTTGATAATGAACATTAACACCATCATCTTTGGCTTTTTGTTCCATTATTTTGCCAAAATAATCATTACCAACAGCACCAATAAATGTTGTTAATTGTAAATTTTTACCAACAACCCATTGACAATAACGCATAGTATTCTGTGTAGCACCACCAGCTGAATATTCAATTTCATATTTATTGATTACCTCTTCATACATTGGTTCATGTTTAGCTTCGGCTAATATTGCCGAATTTTTTGGCAATCCATATCTAAAATGAAAGAAAAACAAATGAAAATTTTCAATAAGAAAATAGTAATCCAATTTTTAAATAAATGACTTACTTTTCCAGAAAAGCATCATCTACAGTTGCCGTAATATCAAGCAATGGATTACCCATGCCAAAAATGTGCATCTCTCTAATAACGAATGAACAAAAATACAAAATAAAAATTGATGATATTTATTCCATTTTTGATTTTTGATTTTGTTTTTTTACGAAAAATTCAATTTAAGTTCAAACATGTAACTTTACAACAAAAAAAAATAATCCAATTTAACCATAAGATCTTTCCGAAGATCATAAATTTAAATTATGAATTTTATATCGGATTTTATCAATTTAATCCTATTTATTGGACATCTGTTTTTTGTTTATAAGAGAAAAAAATGTATCTTTTTTTTCGAAACTTACTTGATATTAAATTTTGCCATTTTTTTCAAGGTGTTGTTGTTGTTTTTTGTTTTTTATTTGTTGTGATTATGATGATGACAATGACGTTGATGCTGGTGATGATAATATGTAGAATATATTTGATCAAATATTTTTTGATTACGTTTATCTATTTTGAACAACAACAACAAAAATATAGTGAATTTGGTCTAGGAAACAAAAAAGAAATTCAATTTAATAAAAATTATAATCTTTTTTTGTTTTAAAAAGATTTTCAAAAAGATATGTTTTTTTTTTTGTAAAATTGAAATTGATCATCGAGATTCGATCGACTTTAAAATTACAAATTGAATGAATGGGGGGAAAATTTTTGTAAAACACATCCAGACACAAAACAAAAAGCTTATGAAAAAAAAATTTCCTATTTCAAAAATTTCAACAACAGTAACATCTTTTTTTGTTTTTGATGAATTTCTGCAGAAAAAAAAACAAAATTCAATTTTTTTTGTTTTGAATTATTATTGATTGAACAAAAAAAAATTGATGTGAAAATAAAGAGATTTTCAAAGGAATGAATATTTTGTATACATATAAGTAGGGATTATGTTTTGAAAAAAGAAAAAAAGGATAAAGAATCACAGAATTTTAATACCCATCTTTCTTTCAAACTATATTTTGCAAAACAAACTAAACAAAACAACACAACGAAAAGAAAATATCGATGATTAATTGGATTTTTTTTTTTTTGGCATCGGAACTATTGATGTTTTATTTATGATGGCAGATGATATAAATTTACATAAATATTGTTTATAAGTTCATTATTATCACAGATATTTTTTGTTTCCAATTTTTAAAATGAAATGTTTCCAAAAGATCCAGTTTTCAATACACATACAATTTTTCATCACGTTGTTTTGAAATAGAGTAAATAAGATAAAACATTAGATAGGATATTGAAAAAACGGATGATTAACAAGATTAAATGTAACAAAACAAAACAAAACAAAAAAAAAATGTAAAAATAAATAACATTCATTAATGAATCTGAATAAAAATGGATAAAAAATTCATATTTTTCATTATTATTGAATTTTTTGTTTCAATCTTTTTTTTCACCTACAAAAAAAAAGGATTGATAAGATTAGGATTCGATTTCTATATCTACCTTAACTGTGGGCTAAAGCAAACATTCGATAAAAATATATGTTGTGTTTATTTTTGTATATATAAATTCTATAAAGAATTTTGTTTTGAACCTATATCATCTTCTAAGATTTGAGTAATTCTTTAGATCAAATCATAAATGTTTTTATCATTGTTTTTTGTTTTGCAATAAAATGTGAAAATAATGATAATTTTTTTTCTTATCTGTTAAAACTAACTAAAAAAAAAATCAGTAAATCAAGTAAACGATTGATGAACGAAACTGATGTCAAAATAGCCGGATAGAAATTCGAATGTTGATAAATTTGGAGAAACAAAAAACAAACAAACCAATTGATAAAAATTTTCCAATTAACCAACTATAGTTTTTTGTTTTTTTCAATGATTTTGAAATTCTGTTCAATTTAGATCACAATGTTTTCAACAACAACAACAAAAACACACATCAACAAATCAATCAACAATGTTCGATAATCAGTATAGATTGAATGATAATTTCAACACACACACACACAATTTGATTTATCAAAAAAAAAAGCAAAACTTACTATGAATGAATAAAATGAATGACTTTCAACAAAAACAAAACAAAACAAAACAAAAAACTGATTGAATTTCCCTGAATATTACGATTCTCTTTTCTCTCAATTCAATTCATACAAATTCACTCACTCACTTGTATACTAATTCACTGACTGATTTGACCCACAAGTGTATTTTCCTCAAATATTTTCCTTTGGTTTTCTTTTTTTTTTTTTTTTTAGTTTTGGATGTTAACCAACAACGAAAAAAAAAATAACTACAGC